TTTAAATTTGGCATTGACTCCTTGAGTAAACAACAACTAAACAGTATTGGTAATATGTGTCAGCTCATCAAGAATTAGGGAAATCTATTTAAAAATATTTTTTATTGATTTTTACAGAGAGGAAGGGAGGTGTCCTTGACCAGAACGGAACCTAGAGCCCTTTAGTCCAAGGCCCAATGCTCTCTTTATTGAGCCAAACCAGCCAGGGCAAAATTGCTTTTTAATTTTATTTTTGTTGTTTTAAGTAACTACCAATAGAAGTAAGGAGGTGGAGGGATTTTTTCTTTCTTAAAAAAAAAATATTTAATGTGTTTTTACTGATTTCAGAGAGGAAGGGAGAGGGTCAGAGAGAGAGAAACATCAGAGATGATAGAGAATCATCAGTTGGCTGACTCTTGCATGCCCCCTACTGTGGATGGAGCCTACAATCCGGGCATGTGCTCTGACTGGTAATCAAACCTTAACCTTCTTGGTTCATGTGTCCCTCAGGCTGGAGGGATTTTTCTAAATTACTGAAATGTCTTTTTTTTATTTTTTATGTTTTATTGACTTTTTACAGAAAGGAAGGGAAAGAGATAGAGAGTTAGAAACATTGATGAGAGAGAAACATCAATCATCTGCCTTCTGCACACCTCCTACTGGGGATGTGCCCGCAACCAAGGTACATGCCGCAACCAAGGTACATGCCCTTGATTGGAGTTGAACCTGGAACCCTTCCAGTCCTCAGGCAGACACTCAATCCACTGAGCCAAATCAGTCAGGGCTGAAATGTCTTAATAAATGCTTCTGGGGCCAATACAAAAATCAGCACATATTAATACTTCCATTTCTGGATTTTGATTCACATTTTGTTTCATGCAACTGGCAGTTTTCTCTCCTTGAGAACTTAGCTAAGCTTTTCAAAGGGCATTTTTCCAGCATTTCTAGACTTAGTAACTAGAGAGTTTTAGTAGTTTTTCTAGATTGTTGTATTTCAAGATAAAAAAGATAAGACTGTGTGCTTTCAAGATTGAGTTTAATATACAGAAATACAGGATGCCAGCCAAAGTATAAAATTACTTTTTCCATATACATTTATTAATTTCTTTTTTTTAAATGACAGCTCCTCTTTTAAAATGTGATCAGTAGTCTGATTTTCCTGTCTGCTTCCTGAGGAAGCAAAAAGGCAGATACTTGGTGAGTTAGCAAGATCAGTTGTTGCTATAGTAAACAGGGAACTTCCTGGCAGTGGCTCTGTTAACAGTAGGAAATGAAATCATGGCCATGTTGCTTTAATTTGTCATAAGATTGTGTGTTTGTGTGTGTGTGTGTGTGTTTGTTTGTTTGTTTTTGTTTTTGTTTTTAATGTTTTCATTAATTTTAGAGGGGGAGAGAGTGGCAGAGAGAGAGAGAGAAAGAGACATCCATTGGCTGTCTCCTGCACACACCCTGATCAAGAATTGAACCGGCAGCCTTTCAGTGCACAGCCACATGGCCAGGGCTGCCACAAGGTTTTGTTTCCCATCTTTGACATGGGAATTTTAGGAGCTGGCCTTTATATCAAGGAATTGGCCTTTCCAGTTCATTTTACTCCTTGAGTCAGACAGTGATAGAAAGTCTCATTGTACCATATGAGTTTGTAATTATTAGACAATTATGATAAATTTCAATCAGGTTTTTAAAACTTTCCTCATGTGGCTATTGACATACATCATCCAGGGGATAAGAGCACAGATTTCAGAATAAGATACATCTGGGTTTGAGTCTTGCCACAAGTCTTCGCCTTTTTGGAATTGTGTGTTTAATGTGCTATCTACATTTAGATGCATTACCAGTACAGCTGGAAAGAGAAACAGATCTAGGTATTGAAAAACAAGGCCAGTGATTCTTTGCTCATCAGGTCATCCTATGTGGGCATTGGTCTCATCTGTGAGAACAGGAGGGTGAACTGAGCAGCCTCCATAGTCTCCTCTAAAAGTCTTTAAATTCAATTTTTTTTTTTTATTAACAAATGAGGAAGCTGATCTTAGGAAATGTCTGTAAAGCCCATTGCCTGGTCTTTTAGTTCTTAGTACTGGGCTACAGAACCAGCAAGTTTAGAGTACCACATGACAGGCTTCACAAGCTCAGTGACTGAAAGTGACCACACAGGATGGTCTGATCATAGATTGCTAACTGGGCAGGTCAAGGTGGTTAGTCACGCGTCAGACCTATAGCTTTCTCTGCAAAAGTCAGTCTTTACATAAAGTGAGCCCTGTGAAATATCAGAGTATGAAATCTAGATATATAAAAAGTTAAGCAACCGTCCGACTATTAGCTATGATGTACAATGACCAACAGGGGGCAGACACTCCGACCGGTAGCTATGACATGCATTGACCAACAGGGGGAAGACGCTTAATGCAGGAGCTGTTATGCTGTGGTGACTTGGCAGCAGTGGTTCTTGGGTGACACACCTTGGAATCAGAGAGAAGAGAGCCCGATTCCAAGGCATGTCACCCAAGAAATGCCTTCTCACAATCTGGAACCCCTCGGGGGATATCAGAGAGCTGGTTTCAGCCTGATCCCCCTCCCCCCCCCTCTGCCACCTGCCGAGGAACCCTGCTCACCCTGCAGACTCCCTTCGAGCCACAGTGCCACCCCAGGGCGGCTGGCCGGTGAGGCACAGCACATCTAGCCCACTCCTGCCAGCCACCTTCTAATGAATTTCCTTTCAATGTTCATGAATCCCTGCATGGGGGCATTAGTATCAGAATAATTTCCCAGAGCACATGACCATGAAACTCCTCATTGTTACCTTATTGCCCACATGCCATCTCTATTTACTATAAATGTTAAATGTTAACTATTCTGTCCCCACCACTGTAAAAGAAATAACTATCTCTCCATTTTACTTTTTATTCTAGATATTTCCTTGCTTTGTTTTTTTTTTCCAGCTTATTTTTTTTTTTCAGAACTAAACTCAAAGTTTTAATGGAGTCCTTCAGAATAGATACCTTCATTGAGATTATAAAGATGAAGACTATGTCCAATACAACACAAAATTACTAAAATAGCCATTTCCTAACTCACTGTTTCCTAATGTTGTCAGATCAACACAATCTCTATGGACTTTTTGTTAAAAATGTATGTTCAGGCCCCACATCAGAGCCTTTTGAACCCAAAACTAGTGGAACAGCCCTATTTTAAGAATTTATTTACAATGTATGTTCCTGCATAAATAGGGTTCTTATTGGAAGGAAGAGAACTCTGCCTTGACTATTTAACAGAAAATGAATTTATTAAAACAGTAGGGTAGATTAAAAGTTTGTGTGAGAACGAGAAAACCAGGCTGTAAGTTTATACAGTTAGGAACGATGCTTAAAATTATCACTTCTACCTATGAGATAATGCTGAAGACTAACTGACACTTTGCAATGCTGAGGACTAACTGACACTTTGCAATGCTGATCTCTCTAACAGTAGGCCTTGCTGCCTTGCTTCTGAAAGGTAGACAGAGCTTTAAGTGTATGTCATTAGTGGGGCCTACCTTCTGTGAGCATTTTTTCCATCTTCTTAATCTGCCACCAGTGGATTTCATGTAACCTTTCTTATGTTTTCTCTTTTGATTCTAAATGTATAAAAAGAACTGCCAAACTGACATTCTCTGGAGCATTTTCTCAATTTGTTGGGATCTTGTTCCTGGGCGTGTCCTCAGATTTTGTTCAAATAAACTTTTATAAAAATTTCCTATCAGTTTTAATTTTCTTTTGTCGACATTGGGGTGTAATGACTATGAGGAAACAGGAAAAGGGTAGGATCGGGTAGGGGAAGCCACCAAACTGCAGTGCATACCTGACAGAGTCTCTGTCAGCCCAGATTGCCCAATAGTGGAGAATCTCACTGGATAGAAGCGCTAGGGCCTTGGACCACTTCATTGCCTAGTCATTGGGCAGTCACTGAATGTCTTTGTATGAAGTTTTCTTTTACTGTATTTAGGATTATTTTAAAGAAATGTGTGAACATTCAGAAGGCTCTGTTGAAAGGGATTGTCAGTGCAAACAAAATATGAGCAACCTATGGCATCAGGTCCCCGACAGCTTTGGATTTTGTTTTCCTAATCTTGGCAAGTTTGTAGCTGGAAAATGGTGTCTCCTTGCTGTTTTGAACCTAAAGTCTACTATGGTATTTAGTGGGTGGTGAAATTAGGAATGAGATTCTTAATCCTCTGTCCAGGGGGATTTACCACAGTCATCAAGGCCCAGCAGGATGGGGAAGATGATAAGAATGAGGCTCTAGAATCAGAATGGCCAAGTTCAGATCCCAGATCTGCTGTTTACTACTTTATGACCCTAAGAGGCTCTTTATATCAGGTTACTTATTTGGATAAAGAGCCTTATAGGGCTATTTTGAGGGTTAAATGAGGTAGAGCACTTAAAACACTTAGTATAATGACTGGCCCATTGGGTATGCTTAAAGGTTAGCCATTATTTTCATATAAATTTGATTATTTTGGTACCGTAAGAATTAGAAAAGAAGAGAACTTAATTCAGGCTTTACTCTTTTTCCTAGAGAAAAAAACAGGCTTAAAGAGGTTAATAGGCTTGGTCTTGGGTCACTTAGTTAATGAGTTACAGCAGTTAGACCGGAAGATGGGTCTTTGACCAATATTTTGTTAAGCAAAGACTATCCTGTGATTTGTAAGAAATTAAAACTAGCTTGAGGCATTACCAAATGCCCCCCTTGCAGTGGATTAGTCCAGGTTTTGGGAAAAGAGAGGAGTGCTCCATTTTGCCTCCACTGGAAAAACCTAATTTCTCATTGAGTTCTCATGAGCTCTTCAGTGATCTAAACTATTTAAGATGGAGCTTTGTTCTATGGCTTTTGAAATGTTAAACACAGCTCTATAAAACATCTCCTTAGAGTGAACTCCCTAGGAACAGTCCATAGAGCTGTTTTACCTTTCTAAAGGTGTGTTTTTTTCCTTTAGTTGCAGGTGGCAAAACTAAGAAAAAGTATTTATGGAATTCCAGTGAGTGGGGATGGATGATGCAGCTCAAATAATTAAGGTAAGAGAAATAAAACCAGAGCTGTGAGGAGTCTTTGTCCCCCAAGTTAGTGTTCTCACAAAACAAAGCTAAAATCAGGTTCTCTTCATTTCATTTTATTTGCAGGCTATAAGAATAGCTTATTATTATTTTTTTTTTTTTTGCCAAAACCGGTTTGGCTCAGCGGTAGAGCGTTGGTCTGTGGACTGAAAGGTCCCAGGTTCGATTTTGGTCAAGGGCATGTACATTGGTTGCGGGCACATCCCCGGTAGGGGGTGTGCAGGAGGCAGCTGGTCGATGTTTCTCTCTCATCGATGTTTCTAGCTCTCTATCTCTCTCCCTTCTTCTCTGTAAGAAAATCAATAAGATATATTAAAAAAAAAAAAAAAGAATAGCTTATTTTTTTATGATTAAATCATTGTAATTATCATTCTTGATAATGGTGGTCTTCATCCTGGTCATGAATCCAAAACATGAGCACAGTAAATTTTTTCATTTATTTAGTTTTAATTTGATTACTATTTTATCTGTTTTGCATTTTTCAGCATATAGATCCTAACATGTTTGTTAGAGGAAATACATAGGTATAAATCCTTTGGGGAAGTTGGTATAGGCAGAGAGAACAGCATCAGGTGTCTGGCAGGTGGGGTCAGACCAAACCTGAGTTCAGCAACTTCAGTACTGGAGTTCTGCCTAGGAAAGAATTCAGAGCCAAGACTCAAACTGTAGAGAACATTTATTTGGTAAATCGCAGAGGTAGAAGATTAATTCCTAGAAGAGATGGACTTAGGAAACAAATTATGGAGGTAAAGGAAAGGCTTGGAGCTTGGGAGTGAGGAAGTAATGTCAATGTGTCTGGGCCCCAGACAGGGAAGCAAGGGGGCAAGCAGGGGTCTCCTCCTGGGAAGGAAGGAGAGCAGGGAGCACACTTGATCCTCTGTCCTAAGAGATTTAAGGGTGGAAATTTTAGGGGAGGTCCCAGGGGAAGATCTTAATAGCATATTCAACAGCTTTCCAGGTGTGTCCTTTCAGGGTTGTGGTCTCCACTGATTGATTGGCTGGCATCAGGGTCATTATTCAATGTATAATAGCTGATCCTGAATGTCAGCAGTGCTGGTTTTGTTGCTTATCTGAGCTGAAATACAATTGAGGCATAGATGTTATCTCTAGGGGGTCCAAACCATATGACCAGTGATATGCTAGAGGAGGAAAAGTCACCCTAGTAGCAAGGTCCCACCCTACAATTGTCTGTGGCTAGGCACCCTGAGCTTTTTGCCGTGGTGACCTTTGGTATTTAGCAAATGGTCCTTGCTCTGTTCATGTCTGTCTAACTGGCCTACAACAGAGTAATTGTAAATGTTGTTTTTAAGTTTGTTTTTCATTTAGTCTTTACTAGTATATAGAAACATTAATCATTTTTTTGTGTGTGTTGACCTTATATTCTGTGACATTGCTACATTTATTAGTTCCAGGAGATTTTTTGTAGGTTTCTTGGGAATTTCTGTGTAGATTATAATGTCCTCTACAAATAGGGATAGTTTAGTTCCTACTTTCCCATTTTCTTGTCTTATTACACTGGGTAAAACTTATGTTGAATAGGAGTGGTGAGAGTGAACATCCTGGCCTTGTTTATCATTTTAGGGGGGGCGGGGAGTAATCATACTTTAGGTTTTGTTTGTTTTTAAAGGTACCTTTTATCAAGTAGAGGAAGACTCCTTTTATTCATACTTTGTTGAGAATTTTTCTCAAGAGTTGATGTTGGGTTGTGTCAAATGCACATCAGTTGATAGGCTTATGTGGGTTTTTTTCGATCAATAATTTACATTGATTTTTTTTAAAAATTGAACCATCCTTGCATTCCTGAAATAGACCTTACTTGGTCATGGTGTATTATTCTTTTTATATATTGACACATTTGATTTGGTAATATCCTATTGAGGATTTTTTTTTCTATGTTCCTGAGGGAAATTGATCTGGAGTATTTTTATTTACTGTCCGGTTTTGTTTTCAGGATAATGCTGGTATAAAAATGAGAGATGGGAAGTATTCCCTCCTCTTTATTTTTGGAAGAGATTGTATAGTATGGGTATTATTTCCTTATTTCCTCCTTTGAATGTTTTGTGGGATTTGCCAGTGAAGGCATCTTGGGCCTGAAGATATTTTTCCTAAGTTAAACATTTTTTAAATAGTTATAGGAGTTCTGATACTTTGTGATTTTTAAGGAATTGGTCCATTTTGTTTAATTTGTTGGGTTTCTGTGTGTGGAGTTACTCAGAGTATGTACTCCAACCAGGAATCAAACCCCAAACACAGGTATGTGCCCTGACTGGGAATTGAACTGGCAACCATTTGGTGCACAGAATGACCCTTAACCAACTGAGCCACTCCATCCTGGCTTCCCTAATCCTTCTTAATGTTCCTGCTAAGTATAGCGATACTCCTTTTTTTAAAAGTTGTGAAGATTTGTGTTATGAATCAGAATATGGTCTGTCTTGAAGAATGTTCCATGGGAGCTTGGGAGAAAAAAAATGCTGCTGCTATATAGAGCTTCCCCAAAACATCAGTTCATCTGTTTCCTTGCTGATTTTTCATTGGTTTTGTCAATGAGAGAGGGTATTCAGCTCCCAAACTACAATTGTTGATTTTGTGGGTTTTTTAAAAAAAAATCTTCAAGTATATTCTCATTGATTTAGAGAGAAGGGAGAGGGAGGAAGAGACGGGAGGGAGGGAGTGAAAGAAACATCGATGTGTTGCCTCCCATATGGGCCCCAACTTGAGACCAAACCCAGAATCCAGGTATGTGCCCTGACTGGGAACCGAACCTGAGATCTTTCAGAGTTCAGGACATTGCTCCAAGCAGCTGAGCCACATTGGCCAGGGCCAATTCTGCCAGTTTTTACTTCACATATTTGGAAGTTTTGTTCTTTGGTGCATATATACATTTAGATTTTTATGTCTTCTTGATGAATTGGCCTTTTTATCATTACATGTTATTCCTCTTTGTCCCTGATAATTTTCCTTGCTTTAAAGAATACTTTATCTGGTATTAATATAACTGTTTTAGTTTTTCTTTTTTAATCCTTATCCAAAGATATTTTTCCATTGTTATTTAGAGAGAGTAAAAGGAGGGAGAAGGGGAAGAGAGAGTAAGAGAGAGAAGAAACTATTATGTGAGAGAGACACACGGATGGGTTGCCTCCTGCACACATCTGGCCAATGCTCTAACCACGTAGCAAAACCGATAGGCTCAGCTTTCTTTTGATTAGTTATTTCCCTGGTATATCTTCATCTATTTAAAAAAATTAATAGGAAAAATTTAAGCAGTTTTTGTTTTATAGAAAGTAATGGAAATTACAGAGTTCCTATATACTCCCTTTCCACAATCCTGCCCTCCCCATTTCTCCTGTTATTAACATTTTGCGATAGCTGGGTAGATTTGTTGCAATTGATGAGCCAATGTTGATACATTAGTAACTAAAGTCCATAATTTATATTGGGGTTCATTCCTTATATTGTACATATTATGGATTTTGACAAATGTATAATGACATGTATTCATTACAGTATCATACAGAATAGTTTCACTCCTCTAAAAATTATTTGTGCTCCACTTATTTATTCCTCTTCCACTATCCCTGAAACACTGAATACGTTTATTTTTAACCAACCTTGGTTGTTTTGTTATAGCTGAAGTACATTTCTTGTAGACAGCATATAGTTATGTCTTTTTCCTTTTTAAAATTTTATTTTTCAATTACAGTTGACATTTAATATTTTATATTAGTTTCAGGCATGCAGTATAGTGGTTAGATAGACATTTTTATAACTTATGAAATGATTCCCTCAATAAGTCCAGGAACCAACCACCTGACATTTATAGTTATTATATTATTATTATTATTTTTTTTTTATTATTTTTTTTTTATTTTTTATGCAGAGAGGAAGGGAGAGAGATAGAGAAACACCAACCAGCTGCCTCCTGCACACCCCCTACCGGGGATGTGCCCGCAACCAATGTACATGCCCCTAACCGGAATCGAACCTGGGACCTTTCACTCCACAGACTGACCCTCTACCACTGAGCCAAACCGGTTTCGGCATAGTTATTATATTATTAACTATATTTCCTGTGCTATACTTATATAGCCCATGGCTATTTTGTAACTGGCAATTTGTACTTCTTTTTTAAAAAAATATATTTTATTGATTTTGTACAGAGAGGAAGGAAGAGAGATAGAGAGTCAGAAATATCGATGAGAGAGAGTCATCGATCAGCTGCCTCTTGCACACCCCCTGTTGGGGATATGCCCGCAACCAAGGTACATGTCCTTGACCGGAATCGAACCCGGCACCTTTCAGTCCCCAAGCCGACGCTCTATCCATTGAGCCAAACCGGTCCCGGCCAATTTGTACTTCTTAATCTCTTCTCCCTCTTTCCCCAAACCCCCTCCCATTTGGCAACCATCAGTTCTCTATATTTATGAGTTAGTTTCAATTTTTGTTTGTTTTTTTTGCTTATTTTAGTTTTATAGATTCTACATATAAATGAAATCATATGGTATTTGTTTTTCTCTGTCTGACTTATTTAAAATAATACCCTTTAGCCAAAACCGGTTTGGCTCAGTGGTAGAGAGTTGGTCTGTGAACTGAAAGGTCCTGGGTTCGATTCCAGTCAAGGGCATGTACATTGGTTGCGGGTACATCCCCAGTAGGGGGTGTGCAGGAGGCAGCTGGCCGATGTTTCTCTCATTGACGTTTCTAGCTCTCTATCTCTCTCTCTCCCTTCCTCTCTGTAAAAAATAAATAAAATATATTTAAAAAAAATAAATAAAATAAAATAATACCTCTAGATCCATTCATGTTGTCACTAATGGTAAGATTTCATTCTTTTTTAAGGCTGAGGAAAATTCCATTTTGTATGCCACAATTTTTTTATCCACTTGACTATTGATGGGCACTTGGGTTGCTTCTATATCTTGGCTATTTTAAATAATGCTGTAATGAAAATAGGGATACATATA